TAAGTTTCCCCTCAACGTCAGTTATTCCGGCGGTCTAAACTAAAAAAACCGCAAATTGTTAACTTCACTTCTTTTCTGGAGATTACTGAGCGAAGACATCAGCTACCAAGCCACATTATATTTACGGAGGTAAATCACTTGTAGAAAATCAAATTAATATTTATAACGAGTATCAATTCATGAATATTAAAAGCACTTGACTAAAACCAAGTTTATTTGTATTTTTTATTCCCAATTCAACATGGTGGACTATCTTGCGCAATCGACTTGAGCCGCAATACAGCCACATTGGTGTTTTCATGGTCCTTCGAGCCGGATAGCAAAATACAGTCCACAAAAACCACACCAGCAAGCCTTCAACAAACTGAGCTTTCAGGCCACAGCAAAAACTTGGGCTACGAGCACAGAACCACTGGGGTCCAGAACCACTTCAAGCGATTTCGTTAGCACATCAAATACGTGTAATACCATGTCCCCACCAAAAAGTTAACCATCTCAAATCGAACTTAACCACATCACTAACTATTGCTGTCCACACTGCGGTTTGAGGTTTATAAAACAGTACAAATGTAAAGAACAGTGTTCGGACATCCAAAAATCGATTCAGGACTAAATTACTGCAAAAATCGGAGCAAAAACAAATTTTCTGTACTAGATTGAATTTTTTATTTTTGTTTCTGACATTAATTGTTTGACTAAAATATTTTCTATTCATGCAAAATAAGAACGCGGGGCAATGTAAGGATAATATGTTACATATTTAGGTAATTTTTAGTATTTCTATATAGTAGAACGTATCTAACACTTAATTTTTTAAAAAGCAAACCTTTTCTACTTTTTATAAATTTCATTCTACATATATTTTTTAACAAGTTAAGTAAAGTTCTGCATCCGCCAATTTGTACAGCCATACATCAAAAAATAACGAAGTTACTTTATTGACGCATTGCTATGAAAGAGTTACTTTTTAACAGTGAGATTTGGCTAACTTTCAATTTTTTTAACTGAAACCGGTGGTGAACACTCAAAAAACGGCCCTAAGAGGGGCATAACATGAATGAAAAAAACGGAATAGATTTGAAGTCAAGCGGAGTAGAGAAGTAGATTCCAAATTTTTTCAAAAACCGGAGTAAATCTAATCTGATCTTAGTTGAGTCCAAACACTAGTAGGGAACGAATTCTTTACATTTTAACGCTAATGACCCACAGATCGCGGGAAAACACAGGGTTGTATCAGACTTTCGACGTGGTTTCGAGTTGGTTAGCTTTTAACCATCTCAGTGAAATGGTTAAGTGCTGTCATTTTTATATGGCGAAACTACGCTAAATCAAGTGGGTTATCGGGATAACCAACTCAATAGCCATAACTACGTGGTTAGCTCCGGTGGGGACATGGTATTAGACACTACAACTCCTTTGTTGCTGCAAAAGCGTTGGACCGCATAGCCAGCTCTCAAACGCCACATTTACACAAATCATCGGCCAACTACACATAGGCACAAAACGTTTACCATCAGCGAAACCACTGAGGATAAAAAGGTACGTGGTTACAAATTTCAAGTGCACTTTTGTTATAAGCCACAGTCGACAAAATTGTCTATAAGTACTTTAAACACAATAACGCGAGTGATATTGTGATAAATATTACAAAAAGTGTTTTTATATAATCTCTCATAAAGAAATTAATAATCGAGCTGTTTCCGTCCGTCCACGAGTGTTAGCAACAACAACGATATAAGGAGCACCTTACAATACTCGCGCGCACACACATACGGCACTGAATAGCGTCAAATAATCAAATTGAGTTGCAACAAAAGTTTTCTATTTTATACTCGAATTCTGCAGGGCATCGTTCAAATGCATTAAACATATTGACTTTCATTTCTTGTGTATTCGTGCGGCACTCTTTCATTTGCAATTACTGTTTAACTTCTGAGGATACATAACCTCTTTGCATATTAACCACTAGCATATTTTTCACAAAATCACTTCAGCGTGTTTAACTTTGACTGGTAGACTATTCGTTGCGATTGTCGACTTTATATTTAAACTAATAGATATTCGCTGTGTTGGGTGGCGAGTAACCCCGCTCTGAAATAAATAAATATTGAAATAAAAAATAATAATAATTAATAAATTTATCCCATATACATATCTTGAATATTATGAAATTGCGTATTTTGTTTCCGGGTTTTGTTGGCTGAAACAAATTTTTATCTGCTCATTGGCAAGGAATATCGTTTTAGACATACGTACGGAAATTATTCTAGGTTTTTTTTTATCGTTCTCCCGTATAGTGTGAATTTTCGTTATCAGTTCCCTGCAAGCTCAAACCATCTCATTAGACCCAAAGATGGAAGCATTTATTCGCCTAACAGAATCGGTCATAGAATTTGAGGCTGATATTAGCAGCACGCCCACCGCAGAGCAAAATAAGCACGGTCTTGCTATACAGCAGGAAGAATTAAAAACTATGTGGGAAAAAACAAAAGCAGCATACGATATGCTTATAAGCCAAGAAGGTTTGCCGAAAGAAGATATAAGAGCTATCAGAAAAAAGCATAAAAATTCATTTGCTAGCTATGTTAAAGGTATGTCTGCTATGGCTACTCAGGCTGAAATCTTAGCAGAAGTTCGCAAAGAAGTACAGGATCAGTCTGTCCGCGAACATAATATTCATCTCCGTCCGTGTGATACAGAGGTGTTCAAGGGCGACTATTTATCCTGGCCAACATTTCGTGATATGTTCACGGCGATCTACATCTTAAACAAGCGCCTCACACCGGTAGAGAAATTATTTCATCTGAATCAAAAGACTCAGGGGAGGCCAAAGATATTGTGAGAAAATGCGATCTCACCAATGAAGGCTTCACTACAGCCTGGAAAAATTTTGTGTGAAAGATACGAGAATAAGCGTATTCTTGTGAACACACAACTAAAAATTTTTTTCAATTTGGATTCCGTGGATTACGAGTGTGGTAGCTCAATAAAAAAGTTGCAGCGGGATATAAATAATTGCTTATCGTCCCTAAACAGTCACAAAATTGACGTTTCCAACTGGGATGCAATTATAGTCTACCTCTGCTCCACCAAACTCCCAGAAAGCACGCTGGCTCTATGGGAACAAACCATAGACCATAAAAATGATATACCAAAGTGGGAGGATATGGACAAGTTCTTATCCAACAGGTTTCAGACTTTAGAAACCTTATCAGGCTTAAAGGGTTCTAAATCCGTGCGAGCGCCCAAGCCGCAAAACACACGACACCCTTCAGAAGCCCCCACAAAACGACTTGGCGTCTTCCAAGCAAGCGTGACTAAGTTTACTTGCAATATGTGCGAAACAAATGAGCACAGATTACGCAGCTGTTCCCGATTTTTAAAACTAACACCTTCTGAAAGAATTGAGTTTATGAAAACCAATAATAGTTGCCTGAATTGTCTTAAGTCTGGACATACCGTGTCAAGGTGCACCTGCTCGTTTAATTGCAGCAAGTGCCACTCGCCACACACCACACGCTCCTACACATTGAGACAGATCCACCAAAGGCAGCTGCGAAATAAGTGCCGTCAAGCTCAGCCGGTAATCGAGCATCTTCATCGAGACAGGCACAAGCAAAGCGCAATACAGGAAAACCAAATTCAATTGCGAATAACAACGTTAAGTCGTGCTTTGCAAACACGAATACAGGTGCTATTCTAGGAACAGCTCGCGTAAATATACATTTTAATGGCACCGATTTTTCCGCAAGAGCTCTTATTGATTCCGGGTCTGAGTGTTCCTTTATAACAGAAAGACTCAAACGCAGAATCAACCTGCCATCCAAAAGGCTGCATGCCCAAGTTTCGGGCATCACGAACTCCATATCCGCGCAGGTTAAAGAAGCGTGCAAAATTGAACTTCGGTCACCGATTGATCCATTATTCCGCTTAGGCACCACTGTGCTCGTCTTAGCACAACTAACTGGAAATCTTCCAACCACCCATATCAGCGCCAAAACTAAACAAGCATTTCCAGATCTGGTTTTGGCCGATAAAAGGTTCTTTGTTAACGAACAAGGAGGAGACATCTATCCAGAAATAATTTTGAGCGGTTTGAAGAAAAATGTACTCAACACTCTTCTCGTCCAAGAAACCGTGTTCGGTTGGATACTAACCGGTCGCACAGACGCACCAAATCCACTGAACAATATAGTGTCCTATCATAGCGAAGTTACACTGGATAAACAACTTACAGCATTCTGGGAACCTGAAGATATACCTAAAAGCAAAACCATGAACGAGGACGACACTTATTGTGAGGATCTCTATCGGAAGACTACTCAAAGAAATAGCGACGGAAGATACGTGGTCTCGCTACCATTTCGGCAGGAATTTCCAGCAAACATCTGTCTAGGCCCTTCTCTTAAAAAAGCATGCTCCCAATTTTTCCGAAATGAGACGAGACTTACAAGGGATCCCGTCCTACAAAAAGAGTACAACAGGGTACTAGCTGAATACGAAACATTAGGACATATGTCTAGAATAAATGGTAGCATTTCATCAGAGTCTTCTGATAACTATTTTTTGCCTCATCACGCC